CTAAGATCCCCCTGAGGTCTAACAGTTTGCAAAACGTTGTGCAGGAAAAAGCCCTGGCAGAGCGAGAAGGTCCTGATTCGTAGAAATCCACCTTCTTTTAACTCCTGCCCACACGAGTGGAGAGAGAAAGTCTGTTTTCATAAAGTCGGTCCCACACCGAGAGCGGCATCGCACCTGCCGGGCTCCCCTCTCCGGTGTCTGTAGTAACTGTATGTTTACATAACAGGCATGCTCTGTCCAGCGCAGCACAGTTTTTTAAAAACCAAGATACTCACCAAGCACTATCGGGCCCTGAACTATGTGAATCCCCAGCGAGGCCCAGGCCAGAGTGCTGCTTTTTTGTGTGTGACTCTTCCTGGCAGCCCTCCAGCGATCCGCCCAACATGTGCTGTGTACTCTCGGCTTTCTCCCTGCGTCGGCCTGAGGAAGACGGGCTTTCAAAAATCAGAACCTTGTCACAGGAGTGGTGCGGGCACACGGGCCAGGAGCCGGCGCAGCGGGCATGGGCACGGGGAGAGGTCAGCAGGCCGCCTCGCCCCAGCCACCGCCGGGACGCTGAACTAAACACACACCTACTGCTGCACTGAGTGTCATCATCTTAGCAACACCCACTTGGAAACATGTGGTGCGATAATGTCTCTGAATTTTGTGAGTCCACAACTTTCCTCTCGTGCCCAGAATGTTTGAAAACAAAAAGAAATGCGCCCTGGCCAGCTTGGCTCAGTGGATAGAGCGTCAGCCTGCGGACTGAAGGGTCCCAGGTTCGATTCCGGCCAAGGGCACATGCCTGGGTTACGGGCTCAATCCCCAGTAAGGGGTGTGCAGGAGGCAGCCGATCAATGATTCTCTCTCATCATTGATGTTTCTATCTCTCTCTCCTTCTCCCTTCCTCTCTGAAATCAATAAAGAAATATATTTTTTTAAAAAAAGAAATGCAAGATTTCTTGGTTTCGGGAATAAAGAATGTGAACGCTTAAAACACTTTATTGTTAAAAGAAAACATCATTCATCTTTATTCCAGACACCGTGTGGTGACGGAGGCCGAGGCTCTGAAAATGCCGTAACGAAGATGAGCCCGCCCGCCTCACACAGCACATCTGCATGAAGATGAGGTCTGAGGCCCCAAACCCGCTGTCCCACATCCTCAGGGAGGCTGCACCTAGAGAGGGGGCTTGGGGAGGGAGCCTGCGGGGAGACCCGTCCCAGGGGGATGTAGTTTCCCCTCCCACAGGCCGCGCAGAGGAGGTCGGAGGCAAACTCCCCCAAGAGGACATCAGAGGTGCCTGTCAACTCCATTTCTCAGTTAAAAAGGAAAAGATACAGGTAGTCGGTGGTAACAGAAAGCAAAAAATATTAAATGTCACGGAGAGCTCTGACGACAGCCATGGCAGTTCTAGGACATGCTGAGGGGTACCTGGGGTCAGGGCCCTGCGCCAGCTTCAGGTGGGGACACAGGTAGGTTTAGGACAAAAATCACTGTCTCTGTGGATACTGGCTTGGACAAAGTCCTGGGTTTTCCATAGCTTACCCAGGTACTTCTGCTCCCCAACTTTATGAGAGAGGGAGAGAGAGAGTTAGTTCACTTTAATTTGCTGAAATTCGGTCAACTCCGGGATCCATTCTCACCGACCTGCTGTTTCTCCCTCCTGCCCCGACAACTCATCGAACGTTACTGACGGTTATGAAGACAACGCTGGGCAACCGCCACTTGGAGATGGCGGGCGGGCAGCTTGGTTCGGTTCCTTGGTCCCTGACCATTTCCCCTCCCCACTGGGGCAGGAGACGCCCCACCTGGAGGTATCGTAGCTGGGGCCACGTGAATGCAGGCGGAACAGGCCGGGGTTAGCTGGACGGTCACAGTCACCTCTCCGAATAACAGAAACTCCTTCTCTGGACGGAGAGCCTGATGGAGCAACCAAAACCCAGATTCGTTCCTTTGTGTGTTTTTTTAAGATTGGATTCTGGATAGCTTTTTTAAAAATACATTTTTTTTATTGATTTCAGAGAGGAAGGGAAAGGGAGGGAGGGAGGGAGAGAGAGAGAGAGAGAGAAACATCAATGATGAGAGAGAATCATGGATCGGCTGCCTCCTGCATGCCCCACACTGGGTGGGGATGGAGCCCGCAACACGGACATGTGCCCTGACCGGGAATCCAACTGTGACCTCCTGGTCCATAGGTCGATGCCAGGCAGATTCGTTCTTTTTGATGTTAGAGTCGGGTGACACTGGACTCTCTATATAATAGGGAAACCACCCAGGGAGGGAAGAGGGAGAGGCGTGGCATGAGGAAGCGATTTTGCGCCGTGGAGGAGGAATACTGTGGAAGACACTAACTTCTGTGCCTGGCGCGTTTTACGTTTCTATGACTGCTATCTGTGTAAGTGAGAAGAGTTAAAAGTCTTAAAGGAAAAAGTGAAGACACACTCACTCCTGGCTCTGTTTTCAAATTATAACACTGAGCAAGTCTAGCCTCAGAGCCAGAACGAGGCTGGGAGGCGCGCTCCGGTCAGAGGTCAGACAGGCGAGTCCCAGCAGCTGGGACGCCGTGATTCCCCTCCATGTTTGTAACGCGTTTGACTCATGTTTCCACGGCGCTCTGCACAGTCCTGGGGGGTTTGACAGAGAGAGAGCTCGCCAAGAACTTTATCTGGAAAATGATAGTGTTAGTGTTTCACCCGTTTTCCAATTAGACCAAAGAAATTCCAAAAAAACACTCATAATTGACAAATGCTATCTCCGTAGCAATACCTCACGTCACGTGTCCAGAAGTTACTGAGTAAACGCGCTAATGCATTTACACACAACTTTTTTCTTTAAAATGCATCCACACACAAACACCACATGAAGTGACACATACACACACGCACATACACACACAGAGGCGAGCCTACGTTCCTGAGCGGGACAGTGTCCCGTGGTGCTGGGCGCACCGCATGTCTCGGCAGCTCAGTGACACGTCTCCCGGGCGCCCTGGCCACACCCAGCGGGGGTCCTACACGGGGGTCCCATGTGGGGGTCGGTCCTCTGTGGGGAGGTTGGGAGGGGGAAGCTTGGTAACCGAATTCCTGCTGACGTGATGCAGGTTTTAATACTAAACAACCCTCGCCGGGGCTCCGCTAGCCTCTCAAGGGCTTTTAAAGGTTTGCTTGTTCGCAATCACAGCATTTCTTTCTCCACATCAGCCTCCGAGGTGGACTGGGATGATCTGTAACACACGCTGAAATGGTTACGGAGGAAACAGCACACCGTGTTGGCTTGGCTTCAGAATCGTCCCATGTGAGGCGGGAAAGGGTGTGAGCGTTTAGATCAGCGGTTCTCAACCTGTGGGTCGCCAACCTGTGGGTCGAGACCCCTTTGGGGGTCGAACGACCCTTTCACAGGGGTCGCCTAAGACAATCGGAAAACACATATATAATTACATATTGTTTTTGTGATTAATCACTATGCTTTAATCGCGACCCACAGGTTGAGAACGGCTGTTCTAGAGAATGGAGCCGGGTCATTGTCGCACATCATCATCACACAGGGTCCGGGGCCTCGCGGGCCGAGGCATTCTCTGCGGGACACACACAGGAGCCTACTTCTGCAGGTCAGGATACGGAGGCCCGGCCGCCCTCTCACCCCGGACGTGCTGGGGTTCCCACGCAGGGAGTCTGAGGATGAAGGCTCCAAGAGCGCGTCTCCTTCCAGCTGTCATCGCCGGAGCTGAGTCGACGACTGCCCCGCAGGACCAGGCTTTTGTTATGTCCACTTTACAACGGCCTGGAAGTACCTGGGTAAAGTCCTAGAAACAGCCATGGCTGTTTACTGTCCCACTCAGCTGGCTGGTGCACGTGACGTGACTGCACAAACAGCCGTAGAAAGTGGGGGTGGGGGTCCTGAAAAGGTCCGATATCCCAGGAGAGACCACAGAGGCGGCGAAGGGAAGCGCCTCGCAGCACGGCCGGGGCAGAAGGACGCCCGCTCAGCACCGGGGCCCGGGAGATCATCGGAGCTCGGAACGTGCAGGGGACGGAAACCGGCTCTGGAGAATGTTCGTCTCAAAAAACACACACCGACCGGCGCTGACGGACGGTGAGCAGCGTCCTAGCGTCTGGGAGGGGCTCTCTTAAGGCATCACCACCGGGAACGGGACAGGCATTGTAACAGGAGCCAGTAACTCCGAGCTTTTCTCATGACTTCTCCCTTTTGTATCTGCGGGCAAATGACCGAGTCTGAAAACTTCTACGTCGATTCTGACATTTCATTAACCTGAGCGACAGCTCTCGTGAGTGAGCCACGGACGTCCCGATGCCCCGGTCGACCGCCCCCTTGGCAACACGCGGTGTAATCCCAGGTCAGGCAGGACACCCCCCGCCCACCACGAAGGCCGCTGAGGGCCGTCCGGGTGTGAGACACGGCCGCCGCCGCAGTTCTGAACGAGACGCACTGTCCACACGTCAACAGCAAAACACGCGTCCTGGTTGTGACGAAGCCTCTGAGACAAGACGCGGTTTTTAACAGCAGCTGCGGCCTCGACACTGAAGCTCCTGAAAAGACTCCGTTTTTAAGGACAAACCTTCCCTTTGCTCGTTTCCTGCACCTTCATCGTTAAAGTGAAGCCGCGAGAGCTGGGCTGCTCTGTGCTGCCCGTTCCTCACACAAACATGCACCCTCAGGGGGAAGAGCCCTCGGGGGCACCTGCCTCCACGCCCTGGGAAGCCCACTCGTCTCCACACACAGAGGAGAGGGAACAGGGCAGAAGCCGGGCCGTCAGGCAGCTGTTTGTGCGCTGAAACGAGCAGCTCACGGTCTCACGGTGCGGGAGCCCCGTCTCACGCGCTCTGACAGCTGCCCACAGGTGCCGCCCAGGGTTGCTCTGGCTACACTGCGTCTCTAAGAAGCTCTCAAGGGTTTATCCCTCTTGTCCCGTAGGGACACCCTAAGTCCCTGGTTAGGGTTGACCGGCACACCCCAGGGCCGTCTAAATGAACGTGCTGAGATGCGCTCTGACTCTCACTCTCACGGCCGCTCGCAGGGACTTTGCAACGAACACTGAACAGAAGATGCTGGGGACCTCGGCTCGCGAGGTGGCGAGGGGAAGGGTCCCATCAGATCGTCTGGAAGTCGAGGGAACTGACGGAAGCGCGTTCAGACTCTGGGGAAGGCCCCCCCAGGGCCCGCAGGTGGGGCGAGAGGACATGCTGCTCTCACCAGCCAGGCTCAGCTCGGGGCAGTCCCCACAGATCATCTGAGGGAGTAGCTGTCACAGCAAAAACAGCCCCAGGGGAAGGGGGGCCACACCTCCCACCAGGAAGCTCCCACCACAGCCCGGACTCCCCAGCCATGGAGCCAGAGGCACCGTCAGTGTCCTGTTTAGAGAGAGGAAAGCTCGCTCTCCTGGCCAATGGGGCTCTCCCACCGAGAGGCAGCACTGGGCACCTCCACGCGCAGGGACTGGGCTGCCGGCAGCAGTGCAGACACAAACACCACTTCCCCCTGCACCAGGGGCTGATGGTGGCCGCAGAGGAGCCGGACAGGCCTGCGGGCTCCCAAGCAGCTGGGCAGGAGCCTGTGAAGACCCCGTGCCCAACTGAGAACACACAGCCGGGCACCGGGGAGAGAAGAACAGAGAGGGCCCGGCCCATCTAGGAAATGGCCCGCCACCGGCTGTCACGCTGCGAGGCAGAATGGCCAGGACAGGGTGCCGACAGGAGTGGGAGCCACGAGCAGGGTGGAACAGGGACTGCTAGGTCGCATTTCCACAGAGAATGGCTTGGCAGGTGGGGGAGGGGGGTAAGGCTAGAGCAGCCGCGGGGGCCGACGGGGGGCTGTCCCAGAGGCCAGTCTGTAGGCGGAGGTGCCTTCACAGAGGGGACGCCGGGAAGAGGCCGCACCAGGAGCAGGGAGCGCCATTCTGCACGGGGGACTGGGGCTCGAGGGTGAGGAGACGCTTTGTAACAAACACAAACTCGTTACCGAGATGTTTGTGAAAGAGCTCTGCTCTTCTTTTACCTGCAAATTAAACCATGGACAGGGGGACGACAGCCCCCGGCAGGAGAACACCGCCAACAGCTGCTGAGTTCACACGCCCTCCGGCCCGCAGTGGCGCCCACCCGTCCACCCGGGAGCTAGAAGGCTGTCCCCAGTGACTTCACCCCAGGGCTCAGCCCCCTGACGGGAAAGTCTCCCCACAAATCCGTGTCCCCAATACCGGTCTGGGTTTCATGGGACAGAGATCACTACCACCTCGGACCTCCGGCCCACACCATCTTGCCAAAATAAACTGGCCCACGCGATGGGCCCGGCCGATAGAAGGTATCGTGTTCTGAGAGATACCAGCACGGAATGTAAGTATTTCAGCCCGAGCTCCCTGATGGCGAGACGGGGGCAGAGGAGCCTAATGGGGGCCTCTGGAGCTGGGGGGCGGAGGAGGGGGGCTGGGGACAGTGAGGTCCCGGCAGTCTGCTCCCTCCAGGGCGGCCACAGGTGCCTGACCTCGGCACGTCCACCCGCAGCTCCTTCCGCCCATCACCGAGCAGCTCTGAAAGCACTCCGAGCCTGAGATGAGAGATAGTGAGCCACTTAGTGGGAGCCGGCAGTTCTCTCAGAAGCGGAGGAAAGGCGAGCACGTCACCCCCAGTGACAAACCCCCCCCCCCGGGTTCCTCCCGGCTGATCCCAGGCCACCAGCCCCAAACATCTCAGTGCCAAGCGGCGCCTGAGGAGTAATCCAGCCTTCAGTCACCTGGGTTCAGTGTGTCACCTGGGGAACAAGAGTCCGAAAAGGCACTGCCTACGCAGGAGTGCGCTTAAAACAGGGAAGGGACCGACCTCCCAGAGCCCTGACCCCACATGACCAACATCCCGCACCAGGGAGGTGCCGTTGTGACAGCCCCTGACCCCACCCACACGTCATCACCCCAAGTCCAGGGCTCCCGCGTGGGCATTCTGTGGGTTCGGACAAATGTACAAGTGCGTTCATCACACGGGGCATCTTCACTGCCAGACCTCCCCTCCTCTCCCAGCCCTGGGAGCAGGGCAGCTCGGCCCGCGGCAGTTTTGAGGTCTAGATTCAAGTTGCGTTCTTCAACCACGACTGAGAACGCACGGTCCAGCCCTGGCACCCCCGCTGTCCCCGGCGAGCAAGCACAGGACCCCTACATTAGCCTCCTCTGCACCACCGCTTGCTCCCCTTCTCCCCAGCGATGCTCACTCACAGCCATGCTGTCGCCACCGCCCATACCCCACTTCCTCGTTTGAAAGCAATCCTCAAAGCACACACTTTGTCCTGTTTGCATTTGTTCCTTACTAGAGGCCCAGTGCATGAAATTCATGCACCGGTAGGGTCCCTAAGCCTGGCCTGCGATCAGGGCCTATTGGGGCCTCCAGCTGCTGGCTGGGGCTTTCATTCCAGCTACAGGCTGCCAACTGGGGACCCCCTTCATTCCACGCCGCCCCCTGGTGGTCAGTGCATGTCGTAGTGAGTGATTGAGCTCCCGGTCTCCTGGTCGAACTCCTGAGGGGACACTTGGCATGTTAGCCTTTTATATATATGGATGACGAAGCCCCTCTGTTGCTGCTGCATTTCCATCTCACAGATGAGGACAGACCTCTGAGGGGAGCCCCAGGAATTCAGGATTGTGATGGGAGAGCCTGCAGCCCGAGGGGAGAAGCACGAATGATAAAATCCCTTCCTCAGACAAAGAAACAGTCACTCAGTTTAAGGGAAGAACAACTCCAACCATTGTATTTGCGTCAGAGTTATTTCCTCTCCTCCCGCTGTGCAAGCAATGCTCCCCCTGCACCTTGTCCAGAGAGGATGCGCCTGCTCCGGGGGCTGGTCTAGATTCACGGGACCCCGAGGGGATGTGCCTGCTCCGGGGGCTGGTCTAGATTCTCAAGGACCCCGGCTACTTCCAGGGGACCCTGGCTGGGTCACAGACACAGAGAACAGCCTCCCTGGCTCAGAACTGGGGTGCCACGGCTGTATCCAGTTTAAAAAAAAGAAATCACAGAATCTCTTCGCCATATGGGTTTTTAACAACTTTAAATATGCTATTCAACCATTATGAACACGGATTAGAGCGCATGCACGAAGGAATCTGCTGTGGCCTTCGGACGGTCTGCCTTCGGTTTTACTCGTTTTGGGTGTTTCTGACCCGGGGCCGGCGGGAGGTAGGCGTCAGCAGGCCCGCAGCGGTGGGTGAGGGAACGAGGGGCCGTCTCCCCTGAGGGCCCCTGGTCACATCTCGAGGCTCTGATAACACACTTCTCGGCAACAGAGCCTCCGGGGAGTGGCGTGTCTGCTTCACAGCCGGTGAGATCACACGGCATCCGAGCTCCGTCCTGGTGTGAACACGCAACACAGACGGGGATGCGCAGTCGGTACAAGAAAGAACGGCACTTTCGAAGCCAGGCTGGAGCCTGCCCTGCCCTGCCCTGCGGGAAGAGGAAGCCGCCTGGGGTCCCCGTGCAGGTGGGGTTTGAGGGAATCGTGGGAGGAGGAGCTGTGAGGAGGGGAGCAGGACACGGGCACGTCTCGGAGGCTGCAGGACCGGCAAGGGCTCCCGGTGGGCCCCCCTAGGTGCTACCCAGTGCCGTGTCCCCCATCGCAATCACCCCTGCGCCATTCCCACGGCACAATGGCCAGTGGCAGAGCGCTTTAATGAGCTGGGCTATTGCGGAGCGGGCAGAGCTCCGTGTGCGGGGTGTCTAAGGGATGTGCGGGGCGCTGCTCTGCAAATGCGGCCTCACATGCAGGCTGGCTGGGAGGTGTGGCCACGGCTTACAGTGAAGGACCCCACTCAGTGACGTCGGAGTGGTCCCTCCAGAAGGAGACCCTGTCAGCGTTCCCTTGTTCTCTATAAGTGCCAGGAGGAGCCCTGGCTCTGACCTCAGGTGGCACGGGGTGACCCGGGGGAGGGGGGGCACAGGGTGGCACACGACGCAGGCTGGGCAGGTTTCTCCAATCCCCGGCCACTCGGCACTGTGGACGCCATTTTCAGGTTCTGACCAGAGGAATTTGTGAACCAGGGTGCCTTGTACCATATGTGCATTTTACTTTTTTATTTTAATATACTTTAATGATTTTTACAGAGAGGAAGGGAGAGGGACAGAGAGTTAGAAACATCGATGAGAGAGAAACATCAATCAGCTGCCTCCTGCACGGCCCCTACTGGGGATGTGCCCACAATCAAGGTACATGCCCGTGGCCAGAATCGAACCCGGGACCCTTCAGTCCGAGGGCCGATAATGCTCTGTCCACTGAGCCAAACTGGTTAGGTTCCACAAGTATATTTTAAACATAAATTTCCTTTTAAAAAGATCATTAATTGACTCAATTCTTTTTCATCAGAAAGGAATACAGAGAGGGCATGTCTGATCCCTGCCCACGTTTATGGCTCAAACGGGCAGGGCGCGTTCTGCTCCAAGCGTGAGGGAGCCGCTCAGACCAGCCTCAGAGCCCCTCCCCCCCAGGAAGCCAGGAGTGTGCCGGCCTCATCCCAGCCCCCACAGCTGCCTGTTTCCACAATTTGCATATTATTTGGGACCAGGGCAGCTGTAATTGTAGATCGGTTTACCTTCTTTCATCTGGGACTAGCAGCAAATCATGCTTAATAGCCTGTAATTCCCCTGTTAATGAGATACCTGCATGCGGCAGGGACTCAACCATGTCCTGCCGTAGGCTGGGGGGTGGGGTGAGGGTGGGGGTGACCCCTCCCTGCCAGACCTGGGGTGGCTCCCAGCACCCAAACCCCAGGACGGCTCAGCAGATGTACTCTGCCTCCCGGGACGGAACTGCTAACTCTGGTGCCAGCGGTGGGTGGCTCTGGAATTGGGGCCCACAGCTGTCTCCCTGCTGCTTCGTTCACACCCCCAGGCCCGAGCCCAGGTCCCTCTCCCAGGTCCGTCTGCAGGCACTCGCATACCAGGGAGCGACTGCGGGGCCGACAAGGGCCGACTCCACCCCCAGAAGAACTCGGACACGTCCCGTCCTGGCCATGGGCGTCGGAGAAGGACTCCCAGGCGGGCCTCCTGCTCACAGGCTGCTGCTCTCCTGCGCCTCCCAGTCCTCGTGCGTCTGACTCCCTCCTCGCGGCTCCTCCGCGCTCCCTGCAGCGGCGCCCCATCTGGAACCGAGCTGCTCGCACTGAGCAGAGTGTTCCTGGTGAGGCCCCTCGACAGAGCGGACGCGGGGCCTCTTTCCTCATCCCTCACCTGCTGGCCTTTCCTTCCCTGCCCTTCTCTCTGGCTCTGCAACTCCTTGCTGGGCATTATGCTCCGGGGAGGGGTCTCAAGGCCAGCCGAACCGGGGCCAAGAACCCACGTGACAGGAGACTCGGGGAGCCCCAGGCCCATTGGTTGATGTTTCGTGGCCATGGTGAAGCCTTTCCCTCTTCCTGTTTTACAGTCGACATGACCGTCACCGGCAGCAGCACTGCCACCCCCTCTGAGGTCACGTCCTCTCCGTGATCACTCCTGTGACTCCCAGGCGGACGGGCCCTTTCCCCTCCCAGCCGAATCTCCTGCCTTACCGACCTCTCAGCAGGCTGTCGTTCCCAGCTGTTTTCTCCCTGCAGAGTGGGGTCGCTCTGCCCTCAATTCACGGAGAGACTAATCTAGACCTTCTCCTGAAGCTCCCCAAACCCCCACTTCTCCATCTTAAGGCAGAGTGCGCATCTCTGTGCCATTCGTGACTGGACAGGGCGGGGCTCCAAGCTGGGCCACTTCCCCTGACCTTGCCCAGCCGGCCCCTCACCTCCCACCTTCCCTGCGCCTGGGGCCCTGGCTCCCTCTGGGCAAGGCCTGGCCCAGGAGCCTCCTTCTGGATGGAGGCTCTGTGCTGACCTATGTGCAAAGCTGCCAGGTTTCAGCCCGGAGGTCTCCACAGCCGACGTCCCCTCCCACACCCGGTGCTCCGGACACTGCACGAGTCACCCCTCCTCTGAGAGAGCGGCCCCCCAGTCTCTCTCCTCCACCCCCCACCCCCCACCTCGGCAGGCTGGGCGGGCTCCATCATTCCTTCCTAGGGACTGTCACACACACGAGACGTGGAGGAATTGGTACAGGGGACCCCTCCCATATACTCCACGGGCCCAGGGCGCCAGATTCCAACCCTCTTCCTCAGAGGCCCACAGGCAGCCCTGGGTCCCCCTCGGGAATTTCCCGGGGTCGGGGATGGCCGCCCGGGTCCCGGCTGGGATGTCCTCACCACTAACCCCTGACCCCGGAGCTCACAGGACACGTGTCCGCACCCACCCTGCCAGTGCTGTCTCCCTTCAAATCCTGCCAGAAGTTTAAACAAAACACAAAACAGTGGAGGACTAGCTCCTTCCAACCCCCTCCCCCACCCCCCCAAGCATGCATTCCACCCGGGGCGATGTTTCTGCCCACGTTCCCACGTTCTCACAAGCTCTCGTGGCTGAACTCTCCAAGGGCTCCAGGCAGGACTCTGGGCCAAACAAACAAGCCCCTGCGAGGGAGAACGTGGAGACGAGGGAGAACGTGGAGACGCGAAGATAAGCCAAAGCGGGGCTGGCCGTCGTTTGGGGAAGAGCATTTACTTTTCTTTCTATTGTGACCACCTTTGTTCTTTGCTTCTCATCAGCACTTGCCACAGAGCCGAAGCTCAGACCAGGCCTCTGAGTGTGAGCGTGCTCAGACTGTGGCCGACAGGCCCCACACGCGGCTGCGACCCGCCCGGGCGGAGCGGCCTGGGAACCTGCATTCCCGCGCTCCCCGCGGCTCTGTGGGCTGAGAAGCGCAAAGCCTCCTGGGAGTCCCACAAGGAGCGCGGCTGTTTTCACTTGGAGAAGCGAGGGGCAGCTTCGCAGGGATGGGTGGGATCTGGACTTTGTCATTTCCATTCGAGCGTTTGGCCACTGAGAAACCTTCAGGCATCAACTATGCGGCCAGCTGTGTTTCGAGGCCTGGAGCCACAGCGCGTGAGCTGCACGGAGCCTGCCCCCGCCTTGCCCCGCGGGCTGGGGGGTCCACCCGCGGCAGGAGCCCGGAGCACGAGGAGGGAGCACCGTGGGGAGAGGATGCCGCCGGGAGCCTGCGTGTAAACTGTGAGTGCCGACACGCACATCGAAGCGCTTCCAGAACCACGTCCCCGGCTGATGGACTTGTAATTAGTCCATGTGGGGCGAGCTCCGTGCAACCCTGCCTCCCCTCCTCTAGACAGGCCTCCTCTCCCATCCGATCTGATGAAGAAAAGAAGGTGTGGGCATGCGTTCACGCACGCACACACACGTGTACACACATGCACGCATGCGCACACATACACGCGTATGCGCACACACACGCGTATGCACGCACATGCATGCACACACATCATCGTCATCATCATCATGGTCATCGCCATTGTCTCCCTCCCAGAGCCAGTCTGCCCAGGCTCCAAGCCCCCAGCCCCAGTCATTTCCGTCTTTCGAGAACCACTCAGATCTTTGGATCTCCGGGAGCATCTTGGTGCCTTGAAAGGGAGTGAGAGGACAGGAGAAGACTCTGTGGCTGGTGACTCTTTAACAGAAGAACAGAAGTTCTTCCAACCATGACCCCGAAGACGCACTAGCTACCACCACAGGCTCTGAGAACAGTGAACTGAGCTGAGTCTAAGCTGCTTCCTGCAGCACCTGAGACAGGCCCGTCGCTCGGTAACTGTTCGCGGCTGCAGGGTTGGGAGTGCACATCCTCACGGGTAGGAAAGAGGAAGAGCGAGCCGACCGCTTCAGTCACTTAGTGGGAACTGGCTCTGAGCGCTGACCCAAAGCGGTCGCTGCGTGAAGGGGCAGGTCTGCGTGCTCCACGTGAGCAGGATGCTCTCCACAGGAAGGTCGCGGCCAGGGCCCCCGTGCTGCGGACCCTGATGACAGATACAGCAGGGACGCTAAGGAACAGTCAACTGAAGAAGAAGGGACACTGAGGAGAGAGGAGGAAGCTCAGCGCCAGCCCGGGAGCTCTCACAGGCGCGTCCTGGAGTCCCAGACACGCTCCGAGCAGCACGGTCGGCGTCTCAGCCTCGGGGGCTCCTGGGAGGCTCGCTCAGCTGAGACACGGATGGGACGTCTGCCCAGCACGTTTCAAGGTCATTCAGAGGCATGAACAACACAGAACACAGGTGACCTTCACAGCCGCTGTCTCCGCCTGCAAGGTCGATGGGCTAGATAAGCCGACAGGCCCCGGGCGCCCCGTGTCCCGGATGCACAGGCCCGAGAGCCCACACGCAGGAGGCAGCCCCGAGGCAGCCCCGCGGGACGCTGGGCTCCACCCCGAGGCCAGCACCCGGCCCCGGCTCTCCTTCCTCTCGGCGTGAAGCGGGACCTGAACGCCACGAGAGCGCTCAA